GTGCAGTTCATTGTGGGAAGGTGAGGTGTTTGTGGTTGGCTGGGACAAGTGCGTATGTGTGTGCGTTTAGGGGGGTGCTGCCTGGGTGCTTGGTCCCAGGAACTGGTTAGGGTGAGGGGGGAGGATGGGGTAGGAGGTGCATACAGCAGAGCTTGCAGAGCGCTGTGGTCCATGGCTGCCCCCGAGGTGTTCTACTGGGGGCAGCCCGCAGCACGTTCCAACCCAGCCCCAGCTAGCATGCACAAATTCTGATGGGCCTGCTTCTGGTGCAGCTGCTGCTTGGCTCTCCTCACTTCCAGTGGCAGTTCCTTCTGCTCCTGCTCCTGCTCCTGCTCCTGCTGGGTGGCTGCTGCCCCAGGAAGTTGAGCGGAGTGGGTGGAAGGGAGCTGGGACCTGGAGCCCCGTGCACTTCTACATACTCAGCTACCTGTGCCAAGCGGGTGGAGTGGATGGAAGGCAGCTGGGAGCTGGAGCTGGAGGCCTGCTTGCTGGGGAGGAGCCACCTGGCTGAAGCTTCCTCCCAGCCTCAAGTTGTGCAGCAGGAACAGAAAGAGGAGTCACCACGGGAGGCAAGGAGAGCTGAGCACCAGCTACATTGGGCATAGTGCTGCCAGAAGCTGACCATGCTGCCTGGGCACAGGCTGGAACACTGTGTGGGCTGCCCCAGGCAGGTCTCAGCCCCATGTGGAGCACCATAGGGGCAGCTGTGGGCTGGATCCAATCAATTTGTGGGTGCCCCCCCATGGGCCAGATCCAATCAGTTGGTAGGCTGGATCCAGTCCACAGGCCATGTTTTGCCCACTCCTCCTCTTGTTACCTGATTACCTACCAAATTTTTAATAGAAATGATTTTGCAAATAATATGAATATAGATAGAGATAGATATGCAAGATCTGGTTTGAATTTATCTTCTTTTCATATATGATGACTTTGCATTTAATTGTGGGATTTATGTTATGTGTAAAATCGATTGTTCATTCTTGTCAAAGACATTTTAAAGGTTGTTTCTGTTAATGGTGAGGGGGTGTAATAATTTTTAATGTGATCATAGACGTTAAGTGCTTGTTAACCTTTATTTATTATAGCTGGAAACAAAACTATTCAGAACTACAGATTGTCAGGCAATTGCCACTCACTACCTTTTGACCTGGAATTTCAACTTCTTGAGATGCAGGTAATGACATATTTAAAAGGAGAAATCCAAACAAACATTCTATGCATGTTGATCAACAGCCAATCATGATAAGTACATGAATATGTTATTGCTTTGTTTACCTTCATTTGTAGCTGGAAACAACTATTCAGAAGTACATATTATCTGGAAATTACCACCCACGGTCTTTCAGCTGGAATTTAACTTCTTGAGATGACTGGGGATCTTGATTTTTCTCTGTTTCAAAATCCAAAATTCTCTTATTAAAAACCCCATAATCTATGTTTTTCCATGATTAAAATGGAACCACTATATATACACAAGTGTGTGTGTGTGTGTGTGTGTGTGTGTGTGTGGTGTGTATATAGGTATGTATATATTAGCAAACTGCCTGTCAAGAATGATGGGGCGGGGGGAGGGAACAGGCTGGGTCAGAGGCCCGGGTCCAGGCCCCCCGCCCCCGCTGCTTCGGGACTGGGACTGCTTAACACCCCCTTCCCCTGCTGCTTTGGGGCTGGGCCTGCTCCCCCTCTGCCCTCAGCCCTGCTGCTTCGG